GGGGAACAAAGTAAAATTTACTAGAAACAGCCTCTCACCGCATCCTGGAAGAGTAAGGCGGGAGAACTAATTGGCACCAGCCAGGTGAAGGGATGCGCTGCGTGGCCACCTTGGCGCCTGCGCACTGGGACGTCCTGCAGCTGCTGTCTCGCGGCGCTTCGAGAGCGCATGCTCCGGAGCGCGCGTCCGGCGTTGGAGGTGGTTGGTCGGTGAGAGTTGATGGAGGAGATTCGAGGTGAAGGGGGAAAGCACGTGATGAAATATGGTCCCGAGAGCTTGTCTAACAAGACAGGAGCAGTGGTGACTGCCGCGGGCCTGTCTGGCGGGGCCCCGGCTCCCCCGGAGCGGCGGGACGGGTGGACTGCGCAGGCGCGGCCCGGCCTGCACCCTAGAACTGCTCACTGCACAGTCACCCCGTTTGCCAGCGGCTGCTAAATGCGTTGTCTTAGAGAGCAGTAGTAAACCAGCCCTGTCACCGGCAACACTGTTGTCGCTTAAGAATGAGACCTTTAGCGACCTAGAGTCTTAGGGTTTGTATAAGAAAAGACTGGAATCAGGTTCCGACCACCCCATACCATTACTTACTATTGCCAAGCTATGTTCTGGGGATATAAGAGACCGAGAGTATCAATAGAAAAGAATATCAGTAATAAGGGCCTTTCAACAAGCTATCAAGCAACACGGGAGCAGGACTTAAAGGAGTTTTACTTTTTCCCATCCCCCTCACCTCTTCCTGAGAAAGTAATCGTGATGATAGTAAGGACTTACTGTGTCTCCTTTTTTTTTTTTTTTTCCTTTTCGAGACAGGGTTTCTCTGTGTAGCCCTGGCTGTCCTGGAACTCACTCTGTAGACCAGGTTGGCCTCGAACTCAGAAATCTGCCTGCCTCTGCCTCCCAAGTGCTGGGATTAAAGGCAGTCGCCACCACTGCCTGGCTTCCTTGATAGGTTTGACTTTGACTTTGTCCCATGGTTTTACCTTCCTACTTACAGTGTCTTGGAACATCAAAAGTTTGTCTAAAAGCTGTGGTTATGGTGTAAAGTATAAACGTTATGAAACTAGTTTGGACTTTTTTCATAAATAATTTCTAGCTAATGTTTCTTAGCTGAGTTTAATTTAGGCATCTGTTTTTAGTGAAGTGCTTAGAAATTTGAATAGTGTCTTTACGGGTCAGCATCCAGTGTAATTATAATTTCACTTTAGGGCATTCATTTTAGGAACAGTGAAAATTATGAAATTATGAATGCTTCTTTGGAATTGAAGTCCATTATTGAGTTTTGTGTGCTGTCTAGAAACCAGAAGTATACTTCTGTTTCATGTTTCAGTTTAATACTTTATTTACCTCAAGCTGTAGTTCTTCATACTGGTCGAGAGAAGCGGGTCATGTGATATAACTGAGGTTTGATAGAGTCTGTGTTGTGTTTTGTTTTCCATAGGTGGTTATTTCCAGTCAGGGAAGGAAGCCAGTGTCTACCATTCACTCCACGTTATCTCCCTGCCATGATCAGGTGTCTGTCAGATGAAGTACAAGCCAAACTGCGTTCCGGTTTAGCCATAAGCTCCCTAGGCCAGTGTGTCGAGGAACTTACCCTTAACAGTATTGATGCTGAAGCAACATGCGTGGCTCTCAGAGTGAACATGGAAACCTTCCAAGTTCAAGTGATAGACAATGGAGTTGGGATGGCGGGGGACGACGTCGAGAAGGTGGGAAACCGGTATTTTACTAGCAAATGCAACTCGGTACGGGACTTGGAGAACCCAGCATTGTACGGTTTCCGAGGAGAGGCCCTGGCGAGCATCGCCGACATGGCCAGTGCTGTGGAAATTTCATCCAAGAAAAGCACAACATTGAAAACCTTTGTGAAAATGTTTCAGAACGGAAAAGCCCTCACCACCCGTGAGGCTGATTTGACCAGACCAAGTGTGGGGACTACAGTAACGGTCTATAACCTGTTTTACCAGTTTCCTGTTCGGAGGAAAAGCATGGATCCTAGGCTGGAATTTGAGAAAGTTAGGCAGAGGGTAGAAGCCGTCTCACTCATGCACCCCTCTGTTTCTTTCTCTCTGAGGAATGATGCTTCTGGTTCCATGGTTCTTCAGCTCCCTAAAACCAAAGACATATGTTCTCGATTTTGTCAAATTTATGGATTGGGCAAGTCCCAAAAGTTAAGAGAAATACATTTTAAATATAAGGAATTTGAGTTTAGTGGCTACATCAGCTCTGAAGGACACTACAATAAGAATATGCAGTTCTTGTTTGTGAACAGAAGACTAGTTTTAAGAACAAAGTTGCATAAACTTATTGACTTTTTATTAAGAAAAGAAAGTATTATATGCAGGCCAAAGAATGGCTCTGCCAGTAGGCAAATGAATTCAAGTCCTCGACACCGGTCTGCCTCAGAACTCCACGGGATATACGTAATCAACGTGCAGTGCCCATTCTGTGAGTATGATGTCTGCATAGAGCCAGCCAAAACTCTGATTGAGTTTCAGAACTGGGATACCGTGTTGATTTGTATTCAGGAAGGAGTAAAAAAGTTTTTAAAGCAAGAAAAATTATTTGTAGAATTATCAGGTGAAGATATTAAGGAATTTAATGAAGATAATGATTTTAGTTTGTTTGGTACAACTCTTCAGACACATGCGTCTGCTCATGAGAAGTGTGACCAGAGCAGTTTCCAGGAAGCTTGTAATAATATTTTGGATTCCTATGAAATGTTTAATTTGCAGTCAAAAGCTGTGAAAAGAATAGCTACTCTAGAAAATAAAACCACACAAAATTCTGGCGATTCAGAAGCTATCAGAAAAAAGACAATGGACTCGTTGTACACTTATGAATCGGATGGCCTGGTCCATAGTAAAACGGTAGAGTCTGCATTACACAACAGCAGCAGTGCTTGCTTAGAATCAAGGGTGTTAGAAGAAGAGGTAGCCAAAATATCACACTCTGGAGAAAATGAGAAATGGAAAAAATCTTTGTTGGAAAATAGGACTTCAGAAAGGCCACATGAAACCAGTCCAAAACTGTTTTCAAGCCGCATTCAAACACATCATCTCCTTGAGGAGAGTGAGGCAGATCTGGAGATGCAGACAATAAGTAGTAGCGTTAATGTCATGGCTGCCAACATTCCCCAAAATAGTGAAATTCAGAGTCAAGTGGAGAAACTTAAAGCTGCTCCTGAAGTGAGGCGGCAACCTCTGCCTTTTGAGACAACACTATTAAGAGTACAGGGTACTCAGAGGAAGAAGGAAGGAAGGAAAAAGGAGCCCAGTAGTCGTGGAAGAATAAATGTTTTTAGTTACGGACAAGTTAAGTTAGGCTCCACTGGCTTTATAACGCATGTGGTACAAAGTGAGCACGCTGAATCAACTGAAACAGAACAGTCATTTAAAAATTATGCTCGCCCGGGTCCTGTAAGTGCCCAAGAAACATTTGGAAATAGAACACACCATGCAGCTGAGACTCCAG